GACTGAAGACTCAGAAAGTGCCTGAGAAGCAGTGATTGGAATGGATGAAGAATGGACATGTTTGTAGCATAGGTTTATTTATTCATTTGTCATCAACATCCCATTTAGTGTGATGGGACAGATGCCATGGCTGTTGCCAGCAGAGAAAAACTGATGAGAGTTAACATTCTTACTCTAAATTGAATTCCTAAGTATGGGAGAGGGTATGCTTATAGACATCTCTATAAAGACAGCCATCTACAAGAGTATATTTTCTTTTTAAACTTCCTGCCTGTTTGACAGATATAGAGAGAAGTGATTAAATTTGTTCTTTCTTGTGTAATAGACTCTGAGGACAGTCAACAGAGACATAATGAACCAAGAAACTCTTTGTCTGTCCTGTTAGTGTGTAGCCTACTGTCAAGATTAGAAAGGCTGAGTTGTATTTTAGTTCTTATTTTCTAGCTAGCTTTCTGTGTGTTCCCAGTGTGAGAACATGAACTTTTCTATACAATTGTATATTATTAAAGGATTAGTCTTACTAAAGCTACTGTTTTTTGGACATACTAACATACACAATGAATAATTTGGAAAATTTGAAAACTGGTGACTCTCTTTTTAGAACTTAAACTCTCTGTGTCTGATCGGGTTGCTTTGTAGCAGTGAGAAGGAATTTCAGGGAAGAGTGATCTGTGACTCCCCTCCACTCCCACTATCAGCAATCAGCACACCTGGGTTTTGTGATTTTTGTGGAATGTCCATGTGCCGCTCCCCGATCTAGGAAGTCTGTTGGTAAAGACCAGCTGGGGTTGATGGCAAGGCTGTCGGGCCAGCTCACACTATTTAACAGTGAGATTCTTTCATGCTAGTTAGTGACAGTCTGGTTTAGTCATGTAAGTGTTGAGTGACGGTGTGGCCACCACTTCTGTGTGGCCTGCTCCTAAATCCTGGGGAAGCTTCAGTTTTGGGGAAGTAATCCTTGACTTCTAAGAGTCTTAAGTCAGCAGGTCTTAAGAATTTCAGATATTGGCCTTCATGCAGTCCCTTCTGTCATGTGTTGTTGCCTCATAACTAAACAACCTGTGGAGGTGTCTGGTAACTTTGCTCCTCATAAATAAATTAAGACATCAAGGCAGGTGTGTCTCTGATGCTGATCTAACGAGTTGGTTTGAGTCTAGCCTCTCAGCAATCAGTGTTGATAAGGTTCCATGTGAGGAACCGTTTCTTCTCTCTTGAGAGACCTATACGTTACGAGTTGATCCCACCAAGTTGGAAAAAAAAAAGTAATGATTTTAAATCTAGCAACTACTATAAGTAATGCTGACACCAGTTTGTTTCCAGGAGTCTATTTTATGTATATACAGTGAGGAATTTAAAACACAAAACAGTCAGGAAATTGTTAGAGTAGTCCCATTTCGGAGCATCATCCATAAGAAGAGTGAAGACACCACCATTATAAAAGAGCATCATCACCAAAGGGAGGTTCTGTAGTTCTTCCCAGTTACCACTGCTGATGGCAGAGACACAGGCACCATGTTGATACATGCAGGTAAACAGATGGAGGAGGAGTTATAGTAAGAGCCAGGTCCTTCCTGTCCTGATGTAGGGCTTGCTTCTGCTTGGGACGTTCAGACCTGTCCATTCCAGCGTTATAGCTGACCCCCCCAATGCCTTCTCCCCTCTGTTTCAGGCTTCCTGCATTAGTAACCAAGTACTTCATTTAATCTTCTGAGGACTCATGAGGAGGGAGGCTGTTTAGGCAGAAATCGATCTTGCTTTCCTTTCTTTGTTCTTTCAACTGAAACCATAGTTGTGATTCAAGTCACAAGGAATAAGGCTGTGGCATCAGAGAGGGAGGCTGGTCCATGTGGCAGCTTTTCAAAAGGTTGAAGTATCTGGAAGGCAGACATGCACAGCCTCTGTGCTGTGCTTAATTTTAGAAACTTCTTAATTTTAATGTGTTGTCCATGGCACAAAAGAAATTTTCACTGGGAGACTTCTGTGGTGTTTGAGGTAACAGCTCTTATGTTACTAGAATCCTGTAATGGCAAGGCCAGCAGGAACCATTCCCTCTGTCCTGAAGGTTTTCTTTGGCTTTCACAGCCTCCAAAGCACTTTATAACATGGCTAGACTGTATTGAATTTCCGCTAAGATCGACGCCCATCAGCTAACATTTCTCTTTTGAATTGTGTATAAATGCAGCACTGATCCTCAGTCTACAGAAAAGCCTGAATGCCAGCACCTCTCCACACACCCAAAATGGTAACAGACGTTGCCTGCAGCCTCTGTGTGACCTTGCTGGCATTGTTTTTTTTTTTTTTTTTTTTTTTTTTTTTTTAAATAAAAGAACGGAGAAATCTTTGATGTCTCAATTGAGAGTTAAAAAACTTAGACAATAGTTTTTCCTTTTCTTTTTCATTTTTGTCAAATGAAATGGAATCAGATCTGTTGTGGACATGGGGTGTTCACTCCTGACATGAGGCCTCTTTTCTTCTCCCTAGAGGTTGAGCACATGGGGTCTGGATGGCCTTTTCCTAACTCGGTCATAGGGACTGCATGTTTGAACTTGAATCAGGAGCCAGCATGAATTGGAAATCTTAAATCCAGACTGAAGCCTTTGTTCCATGCTGTTATCTGTAAAGACGGTTACAGAAGACAAGTTAGGAATGTTAATATACCTTCTCTGACTTAAAATCCATGAGCATTTCACATGGCAAGACAGCTGTTGTTGTATACAGTAACCCAGGAAGCCAGGCACACAAGTGGGTGTGTGAGTGCTGAGGCACTGACCACCCCAGGGTTGAGTAACTGGAGGTCTGTCAGGGTCTCCCCCCCCTCCACTGCCTCACCTCTACTTGTCTGCATTTGCCTCCACTCTGGCCTCTGGCTTCCTCCTGCCAGCTGCTGTGCTGAACCTTACCAGCAGGCCTCAATATACACACATAGGTATCAGAGAGTTGTTCTTTTCTGTCTTTCTGGTCCCTGAGGTCTTTAAAATGTAATAAGTGCTATCTGCCTACCTTGCAGATAGAAGGTTGTGTGCATGCGGCCGGGATGTTGGACTTTTCTTCTCATTCCTGAGCAGCTTTTGAGGGACTCATCCTCAAAAACTGGTGTTCAAAAGAAGAGGGGTCATGTGACGCATTGGTGAAGGTGGAGGCTGTTCAGATGATGTCTCCTTAATGGGAAGAGACTGCTTTATTTTCTGTCTTTCTGAAAATGTAACTGACTAGAAATTAGAGTTAGTCACTTGAATTTGAGATAGTTTGGGACCACAGCAAGTAGGGAAGTGAAAACAGCTCTTTCAGTTGAGCAGTTCTGTCATATTACACATTCCAGAGGAGAACGACAGTTTTGCCAAGCGTGGGGCTACACACTGTCCTCCCAGACTTGGGATGTAGGGACAGGAGTGTAACCTAGTTACAGAGTGAGCTTGAGGGCAGCCTGGGCTACCTGACTCCCCATCTCAAAACAGGGAGGCATGCCTTACAATTACCTGCAATTATTCAAGCACATTGTCTATATCATTCTTTAATTAAAGTTTTTTAATCCCAACAATTGAAAGGCAAAGACAGGTGAATCTTATGAGTTCAAAGCCAGCCTGGTCTACAAAATGAGTTCCAGGCCAACCAAGACTACATAATGAGATCCTGTCTCAAATGAAACAAAACACTGAAAAGAATTTAAGCTAACAAATAATAAATTTTGCCAGAGGAAAATTAATAGATTCACAGCATCTAGTCCAGCTCAGAGACTTAATTTTGGTTTCTCTGTCCATCACTCCTTATGCTTCTCAGCCTAAGACTGAGGTGGCTTCAGGAGCAATCTCCACATGGGTGAGCACTCTATCCTTTCCCTTCCAACAGTTGGGCCCTAGCCTCACCCTCTGCTCTGCTATGACATGATGTGAGGCTGAGACAGCAGCGTTACAACTCCTATTGCAAAAGAACCAGTTTTCTGAGCATCTGAGACTTATCCAGAGGTTTAAAAAATATTTTTAGTTTTGTTTAAAAAAAATAAAATGCATGCCTGTTTATTTAGGATTTTGATGCCTGTTGTTTCCAACTGAATAAGTCTATTTTCAAAACAAAGATTAGGAGATTTGGCTCACTTTTCTTTTGCTGGCTAATATGCCAAAGGTCTGTTTCCCATAAGATGTGTCTGCCTTCAGCTGCCATTCTGACTGTGAGTAGTTTGTTATACCATAGGTTTAACAGCAGAGCGTTTGCTGAAGAGCCCTTGTGCGCATTTAGGATGCTAGAATCTATAAATAGCACACAGATATTATGCGAATGTGGTAGAATCACACAGTGCTTAGAGCTGGCAGTCTTGTAAACATGTCCAGGAAGGGGTGCCTTGGCACCAACACTTGCCAACTTGCCTTTCTCAGAGTGGTGAGATGTTCCTTTCCTGGCTTCCGGTGTCCACATTATGCAGTTCCGTCTCACGAGCCCTGCTACCCCTTATGAATACTGTTTTATGGCTGGCTTACACACACCTAACCTCCACCCTTTCATCTTGGGGGCATGAGCATCCTGGGGGGCAGGCTTGAGTGTCTCAGTTGCTCAGAGCCGCCATCTGCTTCCACTTGCCTTGTGGTCTCGAAGATCATGCTTGGCCCATGGGTACTGCAGTGTGTCCAGAGGATGTGGAGTTTTGTCAGCCAGTGAAATATGTCTGGCTTTTTTTCCTTCCCCCCCTCCCCCCCAGCCTTCATTCGCTCTTCATCCTGTGTGGTCTCTACTGAACTGAATTTCTATTTAACAGAACTATTTACTCTCTTTATCATTTTCTATGGCTTGACTTTTTTAAGGAGAAGGTGTGTAGACTTTGAGCCAAAAAAAGTGTAGTATGGGAAGCAATAAAAACCTAAAGATAGATGCTAATGTCCCGTGTCAGTGCGCCGTGTCGTGTGTGTGGGTTCTGGAGTACAGATTGCCCACTTGAGACACAGAACTGTCAGACACTCACATGCCAGGGTTGTCGGGTCCAAATAACTTTTTCTTTTTCATGCTTTTAGGCACTTCTGCAGTCTTCAGTGAAGCAGCAGCTAGACGCCATTGAGAAACAGTATGTGTCTGCAATCGAGAAACAAGCTCACAGGTGTGAGGAGCTGCTGCATGCTCAGGTACTGATTAACCATGCACCTCCACACATCCCTCTGCTTCCCTCTAACTCCCTTTCCCTAGGCTGCTGTCCCTTCTCCATCAGCTCCCTGGTGTTTATGCTCCTTGATGTATCTCGGAGGAAAAGTACACTTGAGTAGCTTGATAATTTTATGGTGGATTTGGAATAGGGCCACAGGTCTGCACTACGCGGGTTTCCCCCACTCCACGATTACTCTTATTTCCATTTCTGGGTTATATGAAGCTTCACAAAGTCACAGAAGCAAAGAGATTGCTCAGTGCTTCAAAGCATCTGAATGACTGTTGTGACAGATTTATAAATGATGTTCAGAATGTAAAATTGATTATTAATGGGTAGAGAAAAACAAAATATATCTACACTCAACAGGGAAACAACCTGTCCATCTTGGAGTTTTTGATTATTTTGTGTACTAGTTTCTGTTTGAACATTTTTCTTTCACTGTTTTTAAAAGCCAAAACAATAAGCTACTTTACATTAATTAAGCCATCAATTGAAGAGCATTTATAGGTGTTCCGTAGTCAGTAATGTGTGTAAAACACTTCTTGTAATGTTTTATAACATAAAACTTGGAAAATGAAGTTGGAAGCAGCTTTTTAAAAAGTCCTATTCAATAGAATAGGAAGAAAATTAACAATAATTTCGGAAATAAAATAAAGTATAGCATTTGATGGAGATTTGTGGATAAACTAGACTCAAATAGAGATCTGTTTTGTTAGAGAGAGGGGGGAGAGAGAGAGAGAGAATATTTGGCCAGAGGATCATTTTGGGTAACAAGTAGTTTCTTTGGCCTCTTACTATTTTATTATAGTCTGCTCTGCTTGCTAAAGGCAAAGCCAAATGACAGTTGGGTGTGTTTCTGTACACTGTATTTGGACTTCTCAAATTGACGGAATTATGCATGTTATGGTAGGGCTGAGGGTGCCTGAAACAAACCCCACCAACCATGGGTTGGAGCATAGAGGGCTTCCCACATTGTCTGACACCTACCAGAGATGACCTGTCTTCATGTTTGTCTCGATTACTTCTATAAATATCTTTCACCTAATTCAGTCTTAAAAATATTTTCTTTTAAATGTTTCGTAGTTTGGTGGTTTGGGAGTATATAAGTATATTGAGGTATATCAGTTTAAACTGATTTATGTATGTGGTGTTTGAAATAGATCAGATTCCTTTTTTTAAATTTATCAATACATATCTTAGTTAGGGTTTTATTGCTGAGCTGAGACTATGGCATGACCACAGCAACTCTTATGAAGGAAAACAGTTATGGCGGGAAGCATGGTGGCATACAGGTAGACATGGAGCTGAAGAAGAAGCCGAGAGTTCTTTATCTGGATTCTCAGGCAGCGGGAGGAGCAAATGAACTACTGGGCTTGGCTTGAGCTTCTGAAACCTCAAAGCCCACCTCCTGTGACATACTTTCTACAACCAAGCCACACCTACTCCAACAAGACCTCCAGTAATGCTACTTACTCCCTATGGGCCTAAGGGGATCATTTCATTCAAACCACCACAATACACTTTTCTAGTTTCTTTTGCTGAAAAAAGGTAATCTTCCATATCTAAATCTCCTTTATGTGTTTGTCAGAAAACAGTTATCATGTATATGTGGATTCCAATGACTTCCATCTCTCCTGTGTTCCCAACCTGTTCAGATGCTGTGTTTTATTTATACAGGTGTCTTATTGGTCTTGAACCAGGAAGTGTAAAGCCCTCCACATCCTTCTTGTAGTCCAGAATTGCTTGGCTACTTGATGTCTTAGGTTTCTGAGTAAAGTTTATAAGCACTGTGAATTTTTATGACAAAGCTTGTTGGTCTGTTGATTAGGACTGAGTTAGGTTTGGAGTGTGCCTATGTATGAGCAGGGTACATCATTGCTTGTTCAGGGGCTGCACAGAGTGTGCCTGTGTGTGAACAGGGTACATTGCTGCTTGTTCAGGGTTTTAGCTTATTGCTGCACTTCCTCAGTGTTTAGAGTCAGCACATTGGTTTCATTTCAGGCTTTTCATGTTTGGAAATCTGTGTCATCACTCTCCCCCTGTTTTCAGTTATCCAGTTAGTGCTTGTTGCTACTACATAAAAATGCACTCTATCATTTTTATATCCTCTAAGGATCAAATGTTGCTTATCAGTTTTAGCAGATTTTCTGTTAAAAATCCGTGGGAATGCCGGGCGGTGGTGGCGCACGCCTTTAATCCCAGCACTCGGGAGGCAGAGCCAGGCGGATCTCTGTGAGTTCGAGGCCAGCCTGGGCTACCAAGTGAGTCCCAGGAAAGGCGCAAAGCTGCACAGAGAAACCCTGTCTCGAAAAACCAAAAAAAAAAAAAACAAAACAAAAATCCGTGGGATTTCTGGGTATAAGACATTTTTTGCATCTTCCCTTTTATTCTTGCTGTTGCCATGGTTACTTTCTTTTGCTGTGATGAAACACCACAACCAAGGCAATGTATGGAGGGAAGAGTTTATTTGGGCTTCAGGTTCTAGAGGGTTAGGGTCTAATGATGGAAGGACAGTTTAACTCACCAAACTCTCAGACCTTAAACACAAGGCAGAGAGCCAGCTGAAAATGGAGGAACTCATGTGCACTCAAAGCCCATCCCTCTACTGACGCACTTCCTGCAGCAAGGGTGTACCACCTAAACCTCCCTGCAAAGTGCCACCAACCAGGGACCAGGTGTTCAAATGCCTGAATCCATGGGGACTTTTCACATTCAGACCACTTGAGTGGCTTCCTCTTCCTTGCCAACTGAAGTTCTGTGGTGTTGAAGATGAGGAAGTGGATTGCGTGGCCTTTTGATTGTGCTGCTCGAGGAAAGTGCTCCTGTTCTCACCTTGGATGCAACTCTAGCCTTCTGTTCTCACCGTGGGTGTAACTCTGGCCTCCTGTTCTCACCGTGGGTGTAACTCTGGCCTCCTGTTCTCACCGTGGGTGTAACTCTGGCCTCCTGTTCTCACCGTGGGTGTAACTCTGGCCTCCTGTTCTCACCGTGGGTGTAACTCTGGCCTCCTGTTCTCACCGTGGGTGTAAATCTGGCCTCCTGTTCTCACCGTGGGTGTAACTCTGGCCTCCTGTTCTCACCGTGGGTGTAACTCTGGCCTCCTGTTCTCACTGTGGGTGTAACTCTGGCCTCCTGTTCTCACCGTGGGTGTAACTCTGGCCTCCTGTTCTCACTGTGGGTGTAACTCTGGCCTCCTGTTCTCTCCGTGGGTGTAACTCTGGCCTCCTGTTCTCTCCGTGGGTGTAACTCTAGCTGTGGCTGCCTGTGGCGAAGCTCTATGCTAAGCTGAGCTCCTTTCAAATAGGTGCTTTTATTCTAGAAATAGATGTAGGATTTTATTAATCATCTGACTACACATTCTTCCTTTGAATAAGTATATTTGTGTTTAGGCTTAACATAACATTCCCAATTGTCCTTTTAGTAATGTGGAAATTTTGATTATGTCTCTTGTGTTCAGATATTGGTAATTTGTGTCATGTTTCATTTTCTTTGCTCATCTGCTAGAGATTGATTAATATTTTGGAATTTCTCAAAGAGTCAGTCGATGAGACTTTTGGTTTTATTGACTTCCTTTTTTATTTTTTATCTCTGTGTAACTAATTTCTACTCTAAAATTACTATTTAAATTTTCAGATTAATTGGATACCAGTTTCCATTCACTTAGGTCTCCAGCTGGGGCCTCAGGTCACCACCAGTGGAATCCTCCTTGAGTGCTTTGTGGACCTGCTCTAGAGCGGGGGAGTTTATTTTCAAAATCATGTTTTCACTTTCAATTAGAATGACTTTAATTTGTCTTGTAACTGGGTCTAGAAGTATCTTATTTATTTTCCAGATTTTTTTTTTATTTTGCAATACAGTTTAGTTCTATATATCAGTCACAATTCCCTTGTTCTCCCCCCCTCCCGCCCCCCTCACCTTACCCCCAGCACCCCCCCATTCCCACCTCCTCCAGGGCAAAGCCTCCCCTGCGGACTGAGATCAACCTGGTAGACTCAGTCCAGGCAGGTCCAGTCCCCTCCTCCCAGGCCAAGCCAAGCGATCCTGCATAGGCCCCAGGTTTCAAACAGCCAACTCATGCAATGAGCACAGGACCCGGTCCCACTGCCTGGATGCCTCCAAACAGATCAAGCCAATTAACTGTCTCACCCATTCAGAAGGCCTGATCCAGTTGGGGGCCCCTCAGCCATTGGTTCATAGTTCATGTGTTTCCATTCGTTTGGCTATTTGTCCCTGTGCTTTATCCAACCTTCGTCTCAACAATTCTTGCTCATATAAACCTTCCTCTTTCTTGCTAATTGGACTCCCAGAGTTCCACCCGGGGCCTAGCCATGGATCTCTGCATCCAGATTTCCAGATATTTTGATGTTTTGCAGATGTATTTTTTTTATTGATTTTAAGTCTTATTCTGATGTAGTGAGAGAGCATACTTCATGTGGTTTTGATGTAATTTTGAGGTCTGTTCGATGGCCCAGAATGTGTGGACTTTTTTTTTTAATGTCATCATTTAGATAAGCCTTTTGGTTGTCCTGTTCAGGACTTGTGTATTGTTATAATTTCCTGTCTGCCTGCCTTGGCAGTTGTTCAGGGAAAGATACTGAAACACTTGACCCCTGCTTATAGATTAGCCCAGTTTTCTGTGCTTGTCTGTCAAGTTTTAGCCTTTTTTAGAACATTTGACATATAAACAGTTGAGGCACACTCATGAGAATTGCTATGCTTCCTTCATGTAGTTGTCCCTGTCCTCCTATGAAATGCCCATCTCTTACTCTGGTGATACTAGTTAGAATGAGATATACAGATGACCCACTTTTATTTTGATTATGGGTTATGTTAGTTGGGTATAATTTACTCTATGTTTTTATTCTAGATGAATTTTTCTCTAATTATTTCAAAGGTGTTTCTTGTAGGAAGCATATAGTTGCATCTTATTATTGAACCTATAATACTTTCTGGCTTCTACTTGTGTTTGAAGATTCTTGT